GTTTCCTTCGTTTCCACAACTACATAAAACTGGATAAGATGTGGTCATAGATAGATGTGAAATTGTTTTATTGTTACGTGAACTATAGGTACTACAATAGTAATGGTACTCAACTAATATTATCCACCTAATAAGAACTCAAAAGAAGAACATGGGAAGGAGTCTCGTCATTTTCTACATTTCACATTGGGAAGTATTTTATTATACAATAGCATGTCAATGGAAAATATATAAGGTAAATAAATGAAGCATATACCAAACAATATAAATGTACAAATTAAATTTAAAGAGTGAAAATAACCTAATTAGCTTTGACCTATTTGCATATTATTTTTCATTTTTATGTACTTTAGACTCCAGAGTCTAGATAACTGAGCGTGGAAATAATATTCTTATATAGGTCAAACATGTCAATGAAACATATACAAAATCAATGAAGCATATACTAAACTTTGTAAATTATTGAAAGAGAGAAAGTACCTAAGTAGTTTTACATATTTGCATCTTCTTTTTTATTTTTCACGCACTCTAGATAAACAGGTGAAAAATAATATTCTTATATAGGTCAAACATTCCAATTAATCAATAATTTAAACCGCATAAATTGAAGATGTTGATTATTTAAGTTGCATAAGTTGAAAATGTTAGGTGGTTTCAAATGAATATAGTTCAAAAGAAATGGTTTATCTTGAACCACATTCATGTAGATAGCCTCCATTATCCTTTCTAATAAATCAAAAAAAAAATTTGTCACTTGTCACACTCTCATTCAATTTGTCAAATGTCATTTTGTGGTTATTTTGATTTTTTTTTTTTCACATGTCATTTTATAAGTTTTTCTATTTTATTAAATTTCACATAATATTTTAATGTAATAATTGTAATAAATGTAACAATAAATGGATAACAATTTTATTAATTGACTTACCTTTTAATTTCAAAATTCTCAAAGTTAAAGTTCATTAGTTTCTTTTATTTATTTAAATTATTTGTTTAAATTTAAAAGATAAAAAACATTTTCATTATAATAATTCATTATTTTTCTTATTTTCTTATAAATTTAAAGTTTTTAAATATTTTGACATTTATATTTAGCTTTTAAAAAAAAATAACACATATAATACATAGGTCTCACAACTAATATTAAATAGCCTCCATTATAAGATTTATAGAGATAAAGATATAAACATAATTATACATATTTATATGTATCTAATATAATATAATAACATAACAGAAGCGAATATAAACGGATGTAAATGAACATACAAGATTATTATTCGTGAAGCGAATATAAACGAAAGAAAAAACTTGTTCATGTCCGTTCATTTATTTAAATAAACGAACACAAACAAACTTCTCGCCGAATGGTTCATTAGCCTTAAATTAACAAACATATTTGAACGGCTTGTTCTATTTTTTAATGTCAACCAAACATGACTATGGGACGTAATAATTCACTCCATTACCTAGCTCATTATCCCTTAATAAATAATAAATCACCTTCACAAACCAAAGTTTTTTATTTCTTATGACCCATCATAATAAAAAAAATTCTCACTCCCTTCCTATAACAACAATCTATCTAACAAAGTTGCTCTAGTAGCAACGTTATCAATTAAATTTGTAGCTCGACACATGTTTTTCACCGCAATATTTATAGAAGTATGTAGAATTAATAATGTATTATTGTAAATAATATACAAAGGCTATGGACAGAACAAGACAAGACAAGACGGAACTAGACATGACATGGCAAACATTCTTAGTCTATTTTCGATGATAGGGGCATTCATGTCTTTTTCACAAACACAGATTGAGAGCAAGTTCGTGTCCCACCTTTTGAACAAGACTTAAATTGCAATTTTTGTCTCGTTGACCGGTCCGAGTGCAATGCACGCCAAATGCACAACAAGGCCACTTGTCTTGTCCTACATAACAAGCAGTGATGAAAGGAACTCAAAGTTTGGAGGAAAAAAAAAATTAAAAAAATTTACATGTTGTTCATGTCTCTTAGCTGCATACTAATCCATATATGTCTATAATACCTATCCTACCCCTGGCATTGTGTAACAGTAAGGTTGGTCGTTGGTCAACATGATGACATGAGTCATTAGGATTGTGCCATTTGTCAGCCAATCAAAGTTTTGCATGATGGGATGATGATGATGATAGCCAAACAAAGCATGATGGAAGTAGATTGCTATTCCATGAGTGCAACATATTTACGTGGTTTGGGTGGCAGTTTTAGTAGCCTGACCAACTCATATGTCCGTGTGTCTCTTCCACTATAAAGGCAAAGATCCACTGGGGTCAACCCTTCCTATATACACCAACACAAAAGTGCATTTAAGAAGATGTTTCTTTTTTACTTAAATGAAATTTAATAAAACAGTACTTAATCCGTTGTTTCTTTATAGTGTAATGCCTTGATACAAAAATTAGTTAAAAGTGTGACGTTGTAATAGAAAGAAACAAAAGTAGGATGCTATAATTAATAACTAGTAAGCAAAATATGAATCTTTAGGGTAGAGAGAGTACTTGGTTTTTGAGTGTCTTATCAGCTTTCTTGATCAACAAAAGCCTCACCACATCACTTCTACGCGATTGGACAGCTAGATGCAGTGGGGCCCACCCGTACTAATTTAAACAAAATAAAAACATTTCAAAAATTAATGAAAAATGAAGCAACATAATGAACATAAAGGCCGTGTGTGTTACACTCGACAAGATTTATAGGACTACTTTTTTTATGACAAGGGCATTTACGTCTTTTGCATAGACGAGCGATCAAGAAAAAATCACAACCCCACCTTTTTTGGTGGAACAAAAAATTACAGTTTTTTTCATTGACATTAGTCTCAGTCTAAACGCAGTATAATCTGTCATGTCATGTCATATGTAACAAACAAGGCTAAAGTAAATAATAACATTTCAACGTACGTTGTCTTGGAGGTTTATATCCACGTTATAAAGTAAAAGGATTTTTATCATTTGAGTTGATGCAGTGCGTACAGCATAATGCATAAGGGTAGCCCCATCCTGTTGTCATCATACCAAAAAGACCAAAATATTATTCATATATAATATGTAATATACAATTTCCTTCAATAAAAACAAATTAATTTTAGGTTTATGCTTACTTTGTCACGAACAAATGGATTAGCTGAATTTCTCAATAGATAATTACAAATGGCATGCTTTTTTCCAAGTATTGCTTTGTGAAGTGCTGTGAGTCCCTCCTACAAAAAAAATCACAAAAAAGACGTGAATAACCTCCTTATCCTCATTATCAAAAATAGTCCTAGATAAGTTGTCAAAAGTAATAAAAAAAAAGGAAAAAGGAAAAAGTCATCAGTTTTACCTGATTGGGGACGTTGATATCTACATTGTATTTCATTAAAGTATCAACAAGGTAAAATTCTCCTGATGCAGCAAGAGTGTGTAAAGGTTGCCATTTATCCTGTTTAAACAATCATCAACACCAAGTCAAATATAATCCTCCCTCCATTCGATTAAAGTAGCAACAATTTCCTTTTCATATGCGCCATGAAAATTGCAATTTCTGAAAGTTTTCAGGTTAAATTAGTATGTAACAAGAAGCTTACAGAGGTAGCAGTTGCCAAATCAGGTGTCCGCCTATTCATAAGAACTTTCTCCTCCTTTGAAAACAACTTACGAGGACCTAATCAAGGTTACAATAACAAAATTAGCAACTCATGGAATTATATGCAAGAATTCAGCTTTATAGAAGTGAAATTTGAGTACTATTTGAGCCAATTTTAGTGGGAATGTTATAAAATTACCTTCTGGATCTTTGGCAGCTTCAGGATCATACATGCCGGAGTTCAAGTATCGTGAAATATCCTCCAAATTCCGGCCATATACGGCCATTTTAGGGTTCCTAGGGGTCACTCTGATGCCCCTGCTACCTTCACCCTCGTCAATTTCATCTTCGGTGCCATCACCTTCGTTCTTGTCCACCAAAAATTGAGGATTATCCAACACAACTGGCTTCAATTCCCGTAGTTTTGCAGCTTTGTATTCTTTCATACTCTCATACCCCATCGGTATAGGTTTTAACCCGTCTTTCCTCTTCTGTAGTCTGCTCCCGAATTCCATTTCCTGGGCCATCTTTCTCCTCTCTTTCTTCGTGATATTAATCTCTGTCTGAACGTCTTTCCAGTTCGCTGGAACCAAATCCTCCGGTTGAACCACGATTTTAGTAACCCTTTTGGAGGGTTTGGGCGCTTCAAGCTGAATTTCGTTTTGAATGAAAGGGTCATCGAATATGCCCTCTTCAAAAACTAAGCAGTCTCCGATTACTTGCTCATCTTCTTCTTCTTCGTATCCTTCGTCGTCTCTGTTGACGTTGGTGTATGATTGTTGCTGGGGGTGGTGGCGGAGGGAGAACTGAAGGAATGATAAGGTGGGTTTACGGAAGAACAATGATTGGGTTTTGTGGTGGGATTTAGATAGGGAAGTAGAAGAGGTGGTTGGAAGGAGAGAGGAAATGGTGGTTTGCTGGTGGAGTTGGGGGTTTAACAAGAACATTGTTTGTCTACGGCGCCGGCGGGAGGAGCCGGTGAAGGGGAGTATTTCACTTATCTACTTCTATGCTTGGATACTTTGGCAAAACAATGCCAAAAGGGCAGATTTTTGAGTCCGAAATATTTTGACATATGTTTGGTAGAATTTTATAATCGTGAAAAATCAATTCTTACATGAGAACCATTTTTGTTAATGTTGTAACATCACGTAAACATTAATCTTTGTTGATGAACATAAGCTTCGTGAGAAGCTCATCATAATCTTTCCAGAGAATGAATTAATCAAGAATTAACGAGAGGTCTAATTACTAAGGTTCTAACTGGCGTTAGACGTGGCGACAATGTCAAGTCAAGTATCGGGCTTTGACTTATGACGGAAATTTTGTATACATAATAAATAAAATAAATCACATAATTATAGATTTATATTAAATATATCAAGTCATTAAAAGATTTATATCAAAACCTAATAACAAAAGTTTACATAAACTTAACAGTTTTAAACCAAACAAGCAAAAAAAAACTCACGTCTTGATCCGTGTTGGTAAGCGTCATGCCTAACATCACCATCATGAAGGTTTTCGGGACTGCATAGTCACACATTGACGTCATGGCATAATTGTTTTATCCAAACAAGGTAAACAAGTTTAATATTAATACATGCATATAAACACTTTTAACTAAATGTGTATGTAACACCGTAATTTTTACTTTATTTTTAAAAAATCATTTAACGGAAACATGCAAACGGAAGACTTAATTGTTCAACGTTTCAAAAATAGTCACCAACGTTACGTTATTTATAAACATTACCCAACAACTAGTTTAAGGTTTTTACGAAAACATTTGAAATAAAGTAATAACCAAAAACATCCAAGTGGTATCATCTACTAAAACAAATACCAAACACAACTATCCATAGTTTTTTGCATATCATAGAGACTAATTATAGGTTTGTCTAAATATATTTGAAAATACGTTTATTTGATAAATATTTTTTCTACGGTTAATTTCGTATATACCCTTGTTACACAACAAAATATCGTATTTAGCAAACTTCAAATCTAAATATCGTATTTATCATTTTTAATCTTCAAAATATCATATTTGCTCATATATCATTTTTAAACATTTTTTTCACTATTTATAATCAATCATAATATTTTAAAACCATCATAATTTTTTTTTTGAACATACTACCCCCTAGATATTAACCGGTTAACCTTACAATATGACCACGATGGTACCAACCAAACCCGTTTTTGTTACAACTTTGATTCGACGTTGTATAACGTCCATTACCACGTCGCGGGATTCCTTCACCACGACGTGACACTGCCCGAAATTCAAAAATATAACAAATTAAAATACCTCCAAGAATCCTAATGTTACCGAATTTATAACAAATAATAATTAATTTCATTAACAAAATTACAAAATTATCCCTATAAAGTGATTGGTCTAGAGAGATGAGAGGGGAGTCTTTTGTGCTCTCGGTTTTTCTAAGGTTGTAGAGAGTAGTTGCATCCTTAGCATGTTGCCACATATGATTTTTTGAAGCCGCATAAGATTGATAGAATGGTAGCATGTAGGTAAGGAGTAATAGCATCTAAATGTTGATAGATTTTTATTTTGAAAAAAAAATGAAGCCAACCAATGATTACCCTTTCTTTCCTCTTTCTCTTTCTCTTTCCTCTTGCTGCCCGGCCAACGAGCCATCTTTAGCGAGGCACCTAGCGACTTCAATGGGAGTGGTGGAGACAAGGTTAGCGAGCAGGAGGTGAGCTTGGCTAGCGAGCCACTTTCTCCAGACTAAGAAAAAAAGAGAAGATAAGTAAACTAGTAAAGGTATCATCTATCCCTTATATGCTTCCACACTTAAATGAAAGCTCATGCTTTCATTAATTAACTTCAAGACTTGAAATCAACTTGTATGTGTAAGAAGAGGTCAAAGGAAGCAACCAATCATGCCTTGTACTTGGCATGGATGTTTGGAAGAGAACGAGAGAGAATGAGTTCCTAACACATAATTATTTATTATATTAATGTACATAACATTTTCTAGTGGACTTCAATAAGACCAAAATGTTGTACACGACTTATTTAACCATGTCATATGATATAAACTACTAGTTATGATTTTTTTAGTATTATTTTCACAAAAACAATAATTTTCCAATTAAATGCAAGTGTTGATTGAATTTTTTAATAATCATATTACATAATAAATAATCAATTAGTGTTACCTTGTTTTAAGGTGTAACCTTCTTAGATCATATGTTATTAACAAATATCATTTCATAATGATTCTTGAGCATAAAGATCTTTCGCTCTTGTCACACCCCCAAACCGGAACGGCGGAAACGTTCGGGGGTGGTTGACGTCATGCGTAGTATCACAACAATTGTATCATAGCAAGCATAGTAAACACAACCAGACATTGACTACATATATGAAAAAGGTTTACATTGTTTAATATATAGTTTTGTTCATATCAAAAGTAAAATAGGAAGACGTGACTTTAACGCTCCGACTCCTCCAAAATTCCTGGAAGTACCTGTCTACTAATTCCCTGAGAATACAAGCAGTTTTGAAAGAATATCAGCATAAAGCTGGTGAGTTCATAAGCAATTGGTTTTGGTGGAAAGAATGTTCTTTGATTCTTTTGAAAAGTGTTCCTCAAGAAAATCCTATATTTTCTTATGAAAAGCGTGTTTGAAAACTCATTCCTTCCATGACTTCCAGATTCATACATGATATGTACAATCCAAGGTGTCGTGGAATGAATGTGAATATCCGTTGGTTACTTGTTAAACAATCCGTTTATGAGAAGCCGAGTTATCCTGGGAAAATCCTATATTTTCCCTAAAAGTTGATGGTTGGTTATTCGTTCTAAACTGAGGTGTACAAGTATCTACCATACTTATATCGATAAACGTAGTTTCCTTTTAAAAACCCTGGTTACTCCCAGTGAGGTATATTAGCCCTATTACATAAATAAAACTAATAAAAGAAAACGTGATGAACTAAATCCTGAAGGTACTATGAATCCCCTCCAGTAATCAAATCGATTATTACTTTGAGGTTAGTTCACTTGATTCATTATTACAAAAGTAAATCTCTGATATCTACATTGTGAGTTTCATGACCATAACTGACTGGATATGGCCCGCAACGGGGCCAGTATCATTTATGACTTTGTCACCCGTAGACCTGCCGGTCCGACTGTAACTAGCAGCAAGGTGCTGGATTGTCAGTCCCGTATAGATCTATACACAACAGTCACGCTCTCCCTACAAGAGATTCTGGTCACAAGTGCTAGTCCTACACTCTGATTCTGTGGGAGTGTTACCAAGGATGTGTCTCCAACTTAGACTAACAAATTTACAAGTAATAATACTGAAAATCCTTTTTATGATTTGCATGAATCCTTTATAAAGTAATACATTTTACTACATGATTCACAAGTTCGCTACCCTAGTTTTGAAAACTGTTTTTGCGTGTTGATTTCTTAATCGTTTGGTAAAAATTGTTTTCCATGTTAAAAGCATACTGAAAATATAATTATCTTAAACAAAATAATATATTTTGAGCACAAGTTTCCTTGTACTTTTTCTTGTATTCCCCCCCCCCCC